AAACTAATAAGTATTATAAATGCGAAAGTAACTCTGTCTTTTCTACACGCCTAAACTACTGAACCGATTTCTGTGAGATTTGGTACAGACATAGTTTGGAACTTGAGAAAGGCCATAAGATAGTAAAGTTCTTTTACCAAAAATCTGCAGGAAGTCACTATTCCACGCGAACGAAGTCGCGGGCAAAAGCTAGTATTTTCTAACTTACAGTACTTAGTAGGAACGCGGTTCCTCTTAGAGTTAAACCATAAATCATAACAAAGTTTACATTGTAACATACAACTAAGTATCCTCCTACATTATTTCGCTCGCTTCATTTACGACAATGAGTATAAAAAAACTTTTCGTCGTGCCGTGCCACACAATAAAAACTCCCACGTTCATATTTGAAAAGTTTGAGAACCATCAAATTCCCCCCACTCGTAATAAGCGCATTAGGGGTGGAAAAATTTAAAACTCGCCGCGTCCCGAAACTTTTCGCGTTTTCTTTTTACATTAAGGACAAAAAAGAAAAAAGCTTCTACTTAGAAGGGTGGGCGCAACTTTTAATATCCTGTAGATATACCACTTTGAACTACGTCTCCATAAAACTGCAACATCACCTTAATCACTAGGCGAATAAAGTTTAAATTCGTGTAGCCTTTTTGTGGATTTCTAGTAAAACAGATTTTGGTTCGTTTATAATATAAACACGGTTTACGTGTGTGTCGCTTAGCGAATTTAAAAACTGATGGGGACTAAGTCGCTGGGGAGTGTTTTGTTATAGTTATCTACTATTTAAATTATTTATTGTAAAAAAGTATACCTACCTAACTATGTATATTTAAGGTTTGCGTTGTTGTATGATCAATTTCAGGAATGGAATTTTTTTTTTTTATGTAATAGCTCGGCAAACGAGCAGACGGATTACCTGATGGTAAGCAATCAGCGCCGCCCATGGACACTCGCAACGGAGGAGTTACGAGTGCGTTGCCGACCTTTTAGGGATTAGGGATTTGGAGATTTAGGGATTGAGGAGGGATTGGGGAAGGGGAAGGATTGGGCCTCCGGTAACCTCACTCACACGGCGAAACACAACGCAGTGGTTATTTCACGCCGGTTTTCTGTGAGGCCGTGGTATCACTCCGGTCGAGCCGACCCATTCGTGTCGAAGCATGGCTCTCCCACACATAAGGTTCTTTAATGTATAGTACCTAGTACCTACCACTTGACAAAAGATTATCAATAAGATATCCACCACAGACGGGGCCCTAAAGGGCTGATATTCAGCCGGGGTTGCGGGCTAAGCGCAAAGGTGGCACCGCGACCTCGGCACAGAGCAGGAGAAGGAACAGGGGGGTTTTTAGTCAGTAAGATTCTGACACTCCTTCCCGCCCGGCCCTGGGCGGGAGAAGTCATTTGATGATATTCCCCTTAAAAAAAAGATTTATATAGATAAGCCAACAACTCAACAATAACTAAATCAAACCAAGACCTAATTACCTACTTTCATTCATGACATAATCTTCGTATATTATTCGAATTACTAAAGAAACTTTGTAATTAAGTACATCTTTAATTAAACACGATCTGCACGATTACTCTACATTTTCCTTAAAATAACTCCTTACTCCAATAATAGATGGCGTTAGTAGTACCTCTCCTTTTAATTATTCGTTATGGCTCTCCGTTCAAACAAATTGATAATTTTGCCGGTAAAGCGTTTTACAATTAGGGGTTTGTTTAATTTTCTAAGATTGCGAGTGGAATTTTTATGGCTTGTTACATTTCACCCTTTTGCTTGTAGGAAAAGTTGTAAACTTACGATTTAACTTTGCAGCGTTGAATTTGATTTCCATAAATTTTTGCTATTAATTACTTGACGATCTTAATTTGTATATCTTAGTATGATATAAACATCATATCTGTCAGGTCACGGGGAGCCAATAGATGTGACTGGCGACTTGTCGTTCGACGTGGAGAAGTGAGTAGTAGCCATTGTCTAGCAGTGGACGTCTCCCGGCTGATGATGACAATGATAATTTTGATGATCTGGCAAAAATTTGCTCTACATAGAATTTTCTCCTGTGTTGTGGATGCGTTTACAAACATACAATGGCATAAACACTTCACACCCAGACCCGGAACAATAATTTTCGGATCACAAACAGAGTTGGTCCGTGCAGGGATGGAACCCGCGACACGTTGCACTGCAGCCGGTTGCCCAGCCACTGAGCCGTGCAGTCTAAAGACGATACAAAACGAAAAACGACGAAACATTAATTACAAAAGCCCATTTTATTTTTCAGGGTAACAGTTACAACAATTTACTTATTTTTATTTTAGACTACCTGACCCGGCAAACTCCTTACCGCCTCAAATGTTCTGACCTTTAAAATCACGTAACTCATTTTTAAACATATAACACTTAGTGTTATATGTTTAAAAATGTTTAAAAAAGAAGTTCGCCGGGACAGCTAGTCTAGCTGTCCCGGCGAACTTCTTTGCGCCTCAAGGTAGGTATTTTTAGACATTTATTGACATATAGTACGCCTAGCGTAGGTATTATTAGACATTTTAAACCTTCCCTGGACTTCAAAGAATATTTTATGACCAAAATTATACAAAACGGACCAGCCGTTTGGTGGTTTTAGCGAGACAAACTATATAGATGATATTGACTACCAATTTTTTTTTTACTTTTATATTAAGCAAGTAATTCTACAAGTAATAGTCGTAGTGCGATTTCGGAAAAGCTTTTTATTTGTACCATCTCTGGTATCAGAACCCTTGTTAATCGCAATGAATGTCTTGTTTGAGTATTTGGTCCTGAATAATATGTTGTTGACTATACTAGGGCAGCATTGTTATGAGCAAGTGAATCGTCATATGAGAACTTCGACAAAAGACATCGTGGATACAGGGGTGGACTCGAGTTTTGGGGGCCTAGCCTGTTTATGAGATATATCGGAAAATGAGTAGACGGATGACGGTAAGCAACCGATTCCGCCCTTTGGTACTCGCAGCCCCAAATCAGTTAGCCAATAAAAGTGGGTTGTTAGGGATATGAGGAATTGGGGATTGATTAGTCACACGACAAAACACAACGCAAGTTTTGTTCTTACGCCGGTTTTCGGTGGCCGTGGTATCACTTCGGTCGGGCCGACCCATTCTTGCCGAAACTTGGCACGGGCACACTTAATGCTGCTAAATGACTAATGACACTGATGAGTATTATGATGATAACGATGAAAATAAAGTTAAACATTTTTCTATAAATTAATTTATTTTTCCAGTTTTGTTTACCACACTACAGTCTTCAGAGCTTTCGGTTGCAAACTTTGCTGCAGTGTGCTGTAAAAGAAGGTTTTTGAGTTCGTCCCTGGCATTGGATTGGATATCTTCGCCAATCCTTAGCCAGACGGGTTTTTTATGTGGACAGTACACAAGAGTATTAGAACTATTGTTGATATAATTTGTTCGGATTATGTTGGATATTAGACAATTAACGATATCGATTTCGATTTTTTCATACCTCACTGGCATAAAGTCTCAACTCCAAATAGTTCGAAAATAAAACTAAAGTACCTATTCACATTCACGGCGCTTGAAGTTTTTTGTTTTGTTTTTTTTTTCGTTTGATAACGTGGCAAACGGGCATACGCTTACACGACGAAACAACGCTCGCTGCTCGGATAGTTTTGTGTAGTGGAAGCAGCCTAACTCGCAAAACCAGTGGCTCATAGATGTTTTGAACGTGTGTGAAGTGTTTTGTTGACTGTTGTTTATTAGTTTGCTCAAAGTTGGAACAGAAAAAAAGTGCAAAGTCACGCAGGATGAACCGTATAAATATAAAATCTCATTTTTTAAGTACTAACCTAAGTGCTTTCAAGCATTTTAATTAAAAAAGGTTATGCACGGACGGGGTCCACAAATAAGATCCCCAATTAAATAACCAGAAGCATGTGGTATTGATTGACACATTAGTTCGAACTGTTTGTGGACCGCCCTCGGCGGAACAAATGCGAGCCAAACAAAACAAACAGACAGACAGACAAAAGTGATGTTCATGCGTTAAAAAAAGCGACAGATGTGGTGTTGCCTCTTAATTAAATTGTTGTTTTTTTTTGTAAGTGTTGAGTGTAGGTGAAATATAGTTTTTATTTGCATATAAGAACTTCTGCCTATTTAATTCTTGGGCTTTTGAGGAGATAGGTTGACTTACCGTGATAATTCTGTAGTCTTTCGTATCTATTGCCTTATTGATTAAGTGTCTTTGCCTAAGGCTAACAACAAAGGTTCACAGAGATTGACTCAACAAAAAGTTACTTGAACCATACCAATTATGAAATTATACAAATCCGATACAAACGGGAGCAGATTGCCGCGAAATTATTCACAAAGCACCCCCGGCAAGGACTTGATGATATTGTATTAGGTGATCACATACGAATGCGATTTTAATGGATACGCCGAGAGCGCCCCTCGTAAAGAAACCAACGACCTAATCGCGCAACTAAAAAGGGCTCAATTTCCGCGCCATACGTTTGACGTTTATGTCGTTTCGCGCGCAAACGCAACGCGACCCCAATCTAAATTAAAATCTAAAACCTTGTAAACAAGGCAAGTGCTCACTTTTTCGGGGATTTTAACCCTCGGAATTAACGAGAGATATAAAATAAAAGGGGGCTCGTTCCCGAGTGTGCTGCGGTGGTTTGTCATTGTTTTCGATAGGTGCCGTCAGCGTTTTTTTTATTGCGTTTTGTGATGTCTCGATTTGAATTATTTGGAGACAAAAGATATATTTCAAATATGATATTTCTGTTAATTGTAGGTTTCTTATGAGTTATGGTAGGACTTAAAACTGATTAAACTATTTGGTTGAACATGAAAATAAAACAAAAATATTTTAGTTTAGCAATATAAATAAAAGATAAAGTTCATTATGAAAATAAAACAATCAAAATTGTAATAAATAATATGAAAAAGTAATCAATCACAGTACGATTTTGGACAAAGATTCACTCATCAACAAGTCTTTGAGAACAGTTTGATAGAGGAGACTGTTTGATGACTATGGAACCGACAGGCGTCGCCCGAGGGAAGTGTGGCTCTCGGCGGAGTCTGATTGAGGTGATGGACGTCTGCTTTTGCGGTTTGTCCATTAGCCTTGGATCTGGTAATCTACCTCGTTGCAATTCCGCAAGATTGCACGCCAATTCCGCAGCAGCTTCTCCGTAAAACTGCTTGCCCTGACGGACCTGTTGACAAAGCAATGTTAATCGTCAGATAGTTAGCCAATATCCACTATTTAAGGAAATTCTATTACTTGGCTCGTCTAGATCCTCCATTAGATCTACGGAATCTTCAGAAATGGTGATATCGATTGGTTTCGCGGGCACACGGAATCCAGTGACCTTGATCATCAAACAATTAAGTGTAAGTAAACATTAAAAGTTAAAAAAAGAACAACAGATACGATTATTCAGGTTATATGTAGACACATTGTGAACGACACGACACACAGTCTTCAGTTCGTTCGCAACGCCTTCTGGACATAGGTCTTTCCAATAGTAAGGCGATTAAAAGACCGCACCGAAGCTAATCGCACGAAGCAAAATTATCGAAACAAAGTACTTAGTCAAGAATCCAAATAACTCTTAAAAATGTGCAGCCATCTAGTAGAGCCTTTCTCAGTTAATTCGCGTAAGCATCGTTATTTTCAATAAATAAAAAATGTATTGAAAAAATCTAAGCCAAAGAAAAAGGCAAGGGTAAGAGAAGGTACCTATGTTGAATAAAAATTTAAACTCCTCAGAATACCTGTTCTTTTAGCTCGGCTCGTCTTCTGGACACCCATTCAATCTGTTCCTGTAGTTTCTTGCATTCCTTCTCGTTGCAGAGCAGGTCGTTGCGAAGAGATTCCATGATCTCCCGGTATCTTGTCCTTACGTCGTGGTCTATTGCGTGGAGACTCTCAATCTCGTTCTGTGTCTCCCTGATCTTGGACTTTGATAGGCGAAGACGGCCTTCCTGTAATAACAATTCGCAGTCCAGGTGCTCAAATATAATCGCAGTTGAGCAAATTGATCTTTGCAACTACTTTCAAGTGTGGGAGAGCCATACTTTGGGACGAATAGGCCGGCTTCACTGGAGTGATACCACGGCCTCACAGAAAATCAGCGTGAAGCAACATTTACGTCGTGTTTCACCCTGTGAGTGAGGTTACCGCCGCCTAACCCTTCCCCCCATCCGCAATCCTCAAATTCTTAATAACCCACAAGAAGCTGGAAACGAAAATGTAGTAACTCCTTTAGCATTACGAGTGTCAATGGGCGACGCTGATTGCTTACCATCAGGGAATCCGTCAGCTAGTTTTAAAACCAATGACATAACAAAAAACTATATCTAGATAAAGCAGCAGATAGTACATAGTAGACCTTTGAGATTGAAATTTTTTTGGGCAAATGATATGTCAGGGATTATCAATAAACTTTGTTTGAATACAAGAAGTAATTTATTATTTTGTTTAATGGGATAGGTCGCCAAACGAGGTGATACACAGATGATGGTTACCATACAGCGCCGTCCATGGACATCGGCAACACCAAATAAGTTCGCAAGTGCGTCGCTGGCCTTTTGTAAGTTTTTTAGGAATTTTGAGATTGGAAATGGACTGGGGGTTGGAGGAATTGGCCCTCCGGTAACCTCGCTCACCAAGCGAAACAAAATGGGAGCATTGTGTCACGACAATTTAATGGCCGTGGTATTAATCTGGTCGGGCCGATCCATTCATGCCAAGGCATGGCTCTATCCAACACATTTACGCAAAATAAGCTCAAAACTCCTCAATATCCAGATCTTTAAGGTCTTTCACACCAGATGATCTACTCGTGTTACCTTTTCTGCAAGTTTCCTAGTCAGGACATCTAGATGTTCGTCCAAAGAGTCTTTCTGTTCGACTGCGAACTGCTGCACCACGTTGTGATGAGGACACAGACGGTGGACCATCTGCATGGGAGCGCACGGCGGACCAGCTTTTTCAAACTCTTCGGACTGAAATAAAATATTTGCCTATAATTAGCTATGGAGCGAAATAAAGCTCGAAACTCAAGACCGCACGCGATGGCTGAGCGCTGTGGATGCCCTCTTTATGGGGCAGCGGGGATAAAGGACTAAGTCAAGTCAATCAATATTATGTAGGGGTAATCTTTGGAACCGATGGTCGGAATACCAAAATTCTTCCACTGATGGATGCCCCCACTTATGTAATGTGGTGGACCTTTGAGGTTGGTTGGTTGTTACGATATTCCTGAGTGAGTATAAATAATCTGGCGACTACTAGTGGTAGTAGCTAGTGGGGAATAAGATTGAAAATATATACGTGAATTAATACTGCCAGTACCAGTGCCAGTGTAGGTGGCTTAAAACACACAAAGCTTAAGTATCGTACAAATAAAGGTCTATTAAATGCTTTACATACGACTAAGATATTACTTTGAGCGTGAATCGGATAAAAGTGCTTTGTGATTCGGCATAATAATATATAATTAATTGATTTAAGACTTAATTTAGCGTTCTCAAAGCACTCTTTCGCAGAGCGTATCGATTTTGAAACATAACTACTATTTATGACCACTCATAGATACCTAAATGACAGTCCTGTCACCTGTCAAAACAACATATCACGTGTTACTATTTTACTATTAGAGTAATCTAATTCATATTTTAAACGAAACTGAATCATCAATAATCAGACTGATCCACATTAATATGTTGAATTGTCTGATTATAATATATATCTTGTGAAAATTAATAATTTTGTCTCACTATCTCTATTGTAGATTTACCTGACAGGCCAGACGTAGCCTAGATTCTCTCCACTTCCATCTTAAATAGACGAGTATCAAAACGAATGCCACACCTAAACTAGCAGCGGTCACTGCATTCATGATACCGCTCGAGTACCATTATATCATTCTGTATACAACTATAAATTTAAAAAAACCGTTACAATCATATTTTGCTTGATTTTGGTTTTTGACATTTGTCGCTACGTGACAGCTGCCGTGTTTTGAATTGCGAATGACGTTTTTTTTTCTTCGTTTGTTGTTTTTGTTAAGGTTTAGTTAAATGAGGTTTTATTGCAATGTGTTAACAAGGAGTTTTGTCTCTTCAATTTATAAGTGTTATACAATTTTAGCCTTTCCAACATCGGGCGGGAGGGAGTGTCAGACTCTTACTGAATATAAAGCCCCCGTTCCTCATTTTCTTCTGCGAAATTTTATAAACAAGTTTTTTTAGGATTTAAGCAAACATTGTAAATATTTAATGGTTTTTAAGGATTTAGTGTTCCTAAGACGTTGAAATTTGTTAGTTTTTTATTGGAATAAGAGGAAAACGAGGAGGTGGATCACCTGATGGGAAGTGATCTGCGCCGAGAGGCGAAGGAGGAGTTACAAGCGCGTTGCCTGCCTTAGGTTCTTAAAATAATTATTAGTTGTAATATTACGTAATGACAGTAAATACTTCTAACAAGACAAAATATTATCCAAGATAAACATAACTAAAAAAAAAATTACCCACACTGGAATACAAAAAATACAACTTAACAGACAATATAGAATGTCAACAGTGACCTCCCAATTTCCCAAAATCAACTAATCAATGTAACAAAAATTCGAAATAACGTTACAGGCCACGCTAATCTAAATTTAATTACGTAGATATCAGGGGCCAGTGCGTTGAACGGTCCGGATCAGGGAACGGACGGCAAGCCCCATCCATCACGGCTGTCGACGACTCAGGTGGCGGCGCGACGGACACGACCCGTCTACGGTCCGTGTCCGGTACGTGATGCTATGTATATGGAACCGGATCAATAAATCACGCTGTTAATCAACTGAGATAAACTCATTAAAGTTAACTTAGACTAATAGAGGGATTTGGAGGTTAAAAATGTATATGTTATAGTATAAAAATGAAACCAAGTCGTTGCTAGGTAGAATACATATGTTTATGATTGAATAGTAGTACCTTTATTTAATTTTGTGAGAGCATTTGATTATATCTCTTCTAGTTAAAAAAACCTTACCCTTATAAATGAAGATTTTCTCCTGTGTCGTGGGCTTGTTAACAAACTTACACTATCATTATCGTAATCATCATCAGCCAGAAAACGTCCAATGCTGGACAAAGACCTCCCCCTTAGCCCTCCACTCCATTTTATTTTATACATATAAACCATGCCCTTTGGTAATGATTGAAATATCCAGAAATATCAAGATCCACAAATATCTGGATATTTCTTTCATGCTTTTGATGCATAGTAAGTATCATTTATTATCATTCATTTTTAATGCAGTGGTAAAACGGTGGATTTGGCCTTATAAATGTGGATGGATGGAGAGGGAGGGGGAGACCAAAGAAAATATGGATGGATTGTGTGAAAAGTGATATGGAAGACAGAGGAGTTAGCGATAGCGTGACGAGTGACAGGACAGAATGGAAGAAAAAAACATATTGCGCCGACCCCAAATAAAACGGGACAAGGGCAGGAAGATGATGGTAAAACGGTGGATTTGATTAAAAAATATCGATGTTTGCGCACTGCCACAGTAAAGTGTACCTACCTAACGGATATAACATATTTATGTGATGAGAGGACAAACGAATGAACGAATCATCTGATGATGAGCTATGGGGACGCCCATTTTGGGGGAAGGTATTTAAGAATAAACGATTAAGGAATTGGAGATGAGGAAGCGAAAGCGCACCCACACATCGAACCATAACTTTGTGTGTGGTTGTTACACGTTGATTTTTTGTGATTATAATTTAAGAGAGAAAGAGAAAGTAGTATCATTGTAGCCCGTTCGTGCCGAAACATTGCAATCTTACATAGAAAATAAAACTATCCTTCTAGCTGCCCGATATCCAACTAAAAAAAAATGAGCCCTATAAAGTTATTATTAAAAAAATATTTGGAAACCTATCTACTGGAAAAGCTCCCTTAATTGGTTATAGATTGAACACTCCTAATTTAAGTTTTTTAGTTATAAGTAAAATTATAGTGATTCCACAGTCAAACTGTGAATACCTACAGTTTTGTGGGACTATTTGTATTTCATAAGTCCAATGTAATGTGTTTAATAAATAAATAAATAAAAAATTCTCATCACCGCCATTCTCTTCAATCAAGACGTCAAAAACACGTTGACGATGTATCAATAATTCTTCTAAAACTACATCCAATCCATCAAACCGCCGTTACAATAGTTACATGGCATCTTACTACGCGATCAAAGCTCGATCAAGGCAATAGAATGTCCATCAAGGACCACACATAATCGGTTCCGGATACCGCCCCTAGGTGGGGCTAGCAAACAATTACCTACCGATGTGGGGAATAATTGAAAGGGGATCGCTATCTAATTGATTGTTTCAGGATGGCTGACTGATATGATAGAACGATTAAAGTCCACGTGACCGTGTGATATGAGCTCTGACGGCATGCTGGTGTTTATTGTGCCTATGGGTATGTATGAAGATGAGAAGATGGTAAGAAAGGGGATTGTGAAGAAAGCTTTGACTAACAAGTAAGTTTATTTTGCTGTTATGAAAACGCCGTCGGTGATTTAACAAGATAATGAAATGAACAAAGGGAAAATTGTCAAATGACTTCTCTCGTCGGGAGACGACGCGACGCGAGAGGGAGTGTCAGACTCTTACTGACTAAAAACACTCCCGTTCCTTCGTCTGCTCTAAGCCGAGGCCGCGGTGCCTCTTTACGCTTGCTCTGCAACTCTGCCTGAATTTCGATCCTGGTGGGTTCCGTCTTTAGCAATCTATAAGGTCTTTGAAGCGCGTGGAACGCTACGCGTCGTAACCGAGGTTACGTACCACTACCTGAACCAGAACTACTACCAGAAAAACCTCAGGTCTGATTGGGCAGACCCGAGCAAAGTATACATACTGTACTTAGGTACACTTTTTTTACTAAGATAGGTTGTATGCAAAGAGAAATGATTATATTTTTCTAACTATCGACCTTAAGTTTGCAAGATTTGGCTGAAGCAGAGACATCAGTAAACGTTTGATACCTTTGCGACGCGACGGTTTAATAGATGCGCGTTTACGAGTAACAATATAACTCCATAATACCTTGTGAAGTATCACCACTCACCAGCGGAATGAAGTCATAAAACTTAAGGACCGGCGGAATTCCCGCCACATTTGACATTAAACGCTCCGTTCGAAAATCGTTCAGTTCATTCATTCACGTGTCGCGTTCCGTTTCACTTGGCGCGTGATCAAAGCGCGCGCGATGACGTCGGCGCAGTATTCGTTAGATTTACAGCTTACGGAAGCTAATTAGTTGGGAGGAGGGCCCATGCGGAAGGCAGTGCACGCCGCGCGTGCATCCGAACGTGACGCTTTCAGGACTGGTGACGATTAGACGGTGCAGCTGAGCGAGATAAAATAAAATTGTGTAAAAAAACTAAAAAAACAAATTTGTCTTTCATATAATGAGTGTAGCTAATCCCGTGGGAAGTATAATTCATTTAAAGGACTATTGTGTTTTTTACTCCATGGTTTAAACAATAAAATAATCACTAATTACTAGGTGTAAAAAAATCGCTTTCTCTGTCGCAAAATTCCTAAGTTAACTAAAATTCGCGGGTTACTCACGTGTAAATGATGAGAAAAGCTCTACTAGTTTCGAACCACAGAGGGGTTCTTCCTCATGAGCAGCGTGCGCGGACGCGGCGACGTCGCGCAGCCTACTGTTGATGTTCTTCCTCATGAGCACGCTGCTCATGAGGAAGAACCCCTCTGTGGTTCGAAACTAGTAGAGCTTTTCTCATCATTTACACGTGAGTAACCCGCGAATTTTAGTTAATTTAGTATGTCTCACGATAGTTATTATAAAAATTCCTAAGTGTCTACTCTAAAAATACGCAACTGATTTTGATGCATATTTTTTATAATAAAGGAAGGTTTATAATGCATAATAACATCCATTAAATAGAGGAGACATTTTCTTTTATCATTGCATCCGAACACAGCCAGGGTGGGTCGCTAGTTCTATATGTAAACATAATAATCATTGTTTGTGACTGAAATGAACTATGTATTCCATAATTGAAATTTTTACCAAAATAAAAGAATAAATGTGGGAGAGCCATGCTTCGGCACGAATTGGCCTACTGGAGTGATGTCACATAAAAACCGGCGTGAAGCAAAGCCTAGGTACGTTGTGTTTCGCCTTGTGAGTGAGGTTACCGGACGCCCAATTCTTCCCGCCCCATCTCCAATCCTCAAATCCCCTATACTTCAATCCCTTATAACCCAACCCAGCAACGCACTTGCAGTAACTCCTTTGGTATTATGAGTGTCCATGGGCGGCGTTGCTTACCACCAGGTATCCGTCTGCTCATTTGCCGACATATGACTTAAAAACATACTCAGGAACTCCGCAGTTGAAATAACAAGACGTTTTGTTAACCCTACATCCTCCATCCATAACTGCCAGGGTGGTACTAGAGATTATGACTGATGAACACGAGTTTAGACTGCACCCATTACGAAGACTACGTTTAAAATATTTCCGACTCGTTCCGCGAGATGATCCATGACAGACTTCACGCCATTCTCATCGCCAAGGGAACGAGGGCACCAAAGAGTTTTTGTTACATAATTTGTAACTAATTATGAGACAAAAAAGAAACGGTGTCTTTGATCAGTAGAGACACATGGCCGCCCTTTTTAGAACATGTCGCTTACATGTTATATTAATTAATCGTTCAAGAATAATTAGGAATGTAAAGGATTCTTCTATTCTCATTTGTGGTTTTAATTTATTGTCCATTTATTTTGGATGATTTATTAAGTAAGTACCTAAGTATTAAGGGTTTTAGGTAAGTAGGTACAGTTATTAATTGAATTTTATTTTTCAGTTTCGTAATTACATGTTATTATTTTTTGAACCGCAAATATTTTTGCATTAGCTACAGATTCACTCAGAACTGAATCAACGGTATTTTTTTTTATAAATGTGAAGATGATTTCTATTGTCGCATTGTTTGTTGGTGATGTCTTAGATGTTTATTTCTCACCTGTTTTCAGTCAGTTTCGATCTCACGTTACGTGTAAGTACTATAAAAATATATTACTGAATGCTCTGAATAAAAACCTTTTCCTTCATATTAATCAACATACCTCCAAAATAACAGATACCTAAGCCATTAGGTTTTCAATATGCATTTAAGAATATTTTGTTTGAGGACAGACAAATATTCCTCTATATTATCAAATAATCACATAGCGAGCAGGGGATCATGTCTCAGAGGAGTAAAATAAAAGGAAATTCAAAATGGCCGACACTGAAAGCAACGGCGCGGTTTCTTTCCGCGTATTACTAACATTACCATACTTCAGGCGGCGAAGCTTATTTAAATGCTCCACCGACTCCATTTAGAGCTTGGAAAAATAAAACCAGGGAACAGATCCCGCGATCTCTCGCTGAGCCGCTTTTGTGGTAAATATGTATAAACTTACAATGTTTTATCTGCGTTTCATACACTTCTCTGCTACAGTATTTTAGTTCTTATTCGTAAGGCACCAAGAGACACACAATATCTTTCCCGTGCTCTCAGTAAGTTTGCTCCTGTATAAGTATCTACGTTTTGTCGCCGGCATCTTTTTATTTTATCGCATTTTATTTGGGAGCTCAGCTGCCAGTCGTGTTGTTTGCCGCACTCGAGTATATTTCGCTATCTATCTAATATCTACTTAAAATATGAACGACTCTTGCAAAAATAAAATTCTTCGCCTCATTCCGACTTTTCTTATTCTTTTTTCGTTTTATATCAAAAGGCAGATTAATATTTTAGAGAAACGCAAATTGGTGAAGCTTGTTTGAATATAAAACAAAGCAAAAATTAAGTTAAACGATTAAAAAAGAGTCCCCGGAGCGCCCACTGTTTGAACAATGATTCCATTATCTGAGAACGACGCTACGCTTCCTCTACTCAGACATAAAAGATAAAACTGAATAGCCGCCAATTTTGTTCCATTACTCTCAAGCTCCGCAGAATACATATTATCCGTAAAACGGAACGCAAACAAAGTGAACGTCGTTTTCCCGCCGACGATAACTTAATTTCAGTCCGCCATAAGTACGTAATTAGCGAGCCGCTGCCTTATCGGCCGGCGGGTAATTAACCTCTCAGGGGGAGGCCTCCCACTCCCCGAGGTCTCCCTTCCTCCCGGTGCACCTTGAATACCTCCTCGGCTCGTAATATTTCCGCCATATTATCCGGGAGTCCGCCCACCTCCTCCACCAATGGCGACGATTCCCGCGCTTTTGTTTCGCGCCGTCACTGCTTCGTTCCGAAACGTTGTAACTTGGTATGTTTTCTTTGGGAAATTTGGCTGTATTCGTGAGCTGGATGCGGTTTGTTTTCATTGGAGCACGTTTATTATGCTAACGCTGTCTTCGCTTTTGAAATATCATAACTTGGGGATGCTTGCGGTTGAAATAGAACTTTATTTACATAGGATAAAGTTGAGTTTAGTGTAAGTTTGAGTTGTCCGTAGAGGGGTGTCGTCAGTTCATATTTCATGTGTTATCATCTTTTATTGAGTGCGAGTCAGGGTATTGTTGTCGGTTTACTGCGCGGTTATCTCGCGCGGCCGCCGGTGTTTAGCGACGCCTCGGCTGATGAATGGTATATTGGTATGATGTTATAGACGCCGACGAAATCCTGCACCTAGTAAGGGGTGAATGGATGTTAGGGTAACGAAGGATTTTGTTTCTAAATTATTTTAGGAAAATGCTTAGTAATGTACGGCTCAGATAAGATGACGGTTATGTACATAAGTTTCAGATATAACGATTGTGATACAACAATATGGTTTCTTTAGATGTTGCTATTGTTAGGAGTTAAAGCTAGTTACTTTGAATTTTAATTGTAGCTCAAAGATACCTAAGTAGCATAAAAACCAAAATAAGAAAATAAAAATAAAAAAAGATAAAGAGTCTGACGAGAAGTCATGATCAAATAAATACCCCTTAAATACACTATCGAATCTAATACAACGAAAATCGTTTCGAACATAGACACAAATCACAAATACAACTAAATATAAATCGATCATGGCCCATCGAAGCGTGTTTCCGAACGAATGGTCGTTTGTCAAAATTACGGGGCAGTTGATAAGCCGCATAATTTTTGGCGCGAGACTCGTTGGCCGTCCTAATTGGGTGGCGTGGCCAGCGTGCCGATAAAGCCCGGTTTACACAGCGTTTTAATTAATAGAGGTCGCTGGGATAGCGTAGGGTTGAACTCTGCTTTTCAATATACTTTTAAATTAATCTGCAATTTTATTTATATGAAAATGTTCTTCAAAAGTTGCATAACAAAAAGCGTTTTAACGTATTATTGTAGCTTTATATTCTTAATTTTTAATAAAATTTTATGGCTTGAAGGTACTTAATATTGTCTAAAATTCGTTCAGCCTAACTAGCCTGAATGAAATCGATCTAAATCAAAAAGATAATGTTGCAAAAACTTGCCTTTATTGCCCCGTTTGGACCAAAGTACTATTAATACGATTCATGATATCATATTTGGCTACTAGCGTTTAAATTAAAGTTGAACAGCGACACGGAAAATGAATAAATAAATGATGTACTTAGTACCAATTGTCATTATAATAACGAACGAAAATAAATAAATTTGACATAAAAAAATCTGTCTTCGTACAGCCCTAATATGCCGCCAGAGCCTAAAACGCGGAGAGTTACCAAACTAAATCTGTGCAGAAATATAAATCAGGTCAGAATTTAGTTATCTCGACGAGCGACAGATTAGGGCTCTTTGAGAACACCTAGTTTAGCTAACTACCAACACTTTCTGAATTAAACTGGAATATACCTGAGAACTGCATAACTGGTATGATTTTGAAGTTATTCATTAAATATCTATACATGGGTATAATTATAGAGCATAACAAGTTTATAGGTGAAAGAAATTATTCTGTAGAAAGGTGTTACTTTACAACAAGCTGTTCTTTTTTCATTAAATAAAATTTCATTATAACGATCTAAAAGGTAAGTTTTTTTAAAAGTCTTATTGTGCCCTATGAAGACGCAGAAAAGTTGTTATTACCTAATTACTAAATACCTAACTGTAGAAATGGCGTTTTTAATTTATAAACATACGGATAATATTTTATACTTAAATAGTAAACTTCTTTCCCATACCTATTAAAAAAAACAATTATACATTTAATCACAATGTATGATTGTGATTGTTTAACAATGTATACTACTTTTTACCAACCCAACTCTCGCCTGAAATTCTAATCTTATAAATGATAGAAATCTATTATTTTCCTATACTTAGATGTGGCCATAACAACTTTATGGTCCCTTGACTCCTCTTCTTATAGATAAGAACGTTCTAGGTTCCATTAAAATATATAATCATTAAATTACCTATCCCAAACTCAGTCAGTCATAAAATTACGCCCCTATCACAGATGTCAGTTGCGGTCATTTACGAAGTTAGTAAAATGTCTCGGTACCCTTCCGCGAAGTTTGCGCGGATCGAAGTTTTACCCGACGGCAGCTAGCGAGGACTGCAAGGGGTAAAGCAATCAACTCCAACTCCATGGTACCGAGGGCTTCCCTTCGAGCTGACACCGTAAGTAACCTCGTACGAAAACTGCTCCTCAATGTAACTTAACAACAAGTTTACGGCTCTGAGAAAACTTTAGTCACTTTGTTTTGAAGCTGTACCTATATTTGAATAT